AGAGTGAACGATGACAAGGTGAACGATGACAGGGTGAACGATGACATGGTGAACGATGATAGAATGAACGATGGCAGAGTGAACGATGACAGGGTGAACGATGACAGAGTGAACGATGGCAGAGTGAACGATGACAGAATGAACGATGACAGGGTGAACGATGACAGGGTGAACGATGACAGGGTGAACGATGGCAGAGTGAACGATGACAGGGTGAACGATGACAGAGTGAACGATGACAGAGTGAACGATGACAGAGTGAACGATGACAGGAGTGAACGATGACAGAGTGAACGATGACAGAGTGAACGATGACAGAGTGAACGATGACAGGGTGAACGATGACAGGGTGAACGATGATAGAATGAATGATGACAGGGTGAACGATGACAGGGTGAATGATGATAGGGTGAACGATGACAGGGTGAACGACGGCAGAGTGAACGATGACAAGGTGAACGATGACAGGGTGAACGATGACATGGTGAACGATGATAGAATGAACGATGGCAGAGTGAACGATGACAGGGTGAACGATGACAGAGTGAACGATGGCAGAGTGAACGATGACAGAATGAACGATGACAGGGTGAACGATGACAGGTGAACGATGACAGGGTGAACGATGGCAGAGTGAACGATGACAGGGTGAACGATGACAGGGTGAACGATGATAGAATGAACGATGACAGGGTGAACGATGACAGGGTGAATGATGATAGGGTGAACGATGACAGGGTAACGATGGCAGAAGTGAACGATGACAGGGTGAATGATGATAGGGTGAACGATGACAGAGTGAACGATGACAGAATGAACGATGACAGAGTGAACGATGACAGGGTGAACGATGACAGGGTGAACGATGATAGAATGAACGATGACAGAGTGAACGATGACAGGGTGAACGATGACAGAGTGAACGATGACAGGGTGAACGATGACAGGGTGAACGATGACAGAGTGAACGATGACAGAGTGAACGATGGCAGAGTGAACGATGACAGGGTGAACGATGACAGGGTGAACGATGATAGAATGAACGATGACAGGGTGAACGATGACAGGGTGAACGATGACAGGGTGAACGATGACAGGGTGAACGATGGCAGAGTGAACGATGACAGGGTGAACGATGGCAGGGTGAACGATGACAGAGTGAACGATGACAGGGTGAACGATGATAGAATGAACGATGGCAGAGTGAACGATGACAGGGTGAACGATGACAGGGTGAACGATGACAGGGTGAACGATGACAGGGTGAACGATGGCAGGGTGAACGATGGCAGGGTGAACGATGACAGGGTGAACGATGACAGGGTGAACGATGACAGGGTGAACGATGACAGGGTGAACGATGACAGGGTGAACGATGGCAGGGTGAACGATGGCAGGGTGAACGATGACAGGGTGAACGATGACAGGGTGAACGATGACAGGGTGAACGATGGCAGGGTGAACGATGGCAGGGTGAACGATGACAGGGTGAACGATGACAGGGTGAACGATGACAGGGTGAACGATGACAGGGTGAACGATGACAGGGTGAACGATGACAGGGTGAACGATGACAGGGTGAACGATGACAGAGTGAACGATGACAGGGTGAACGATGACAGGGTGAACGATGACAGGGTGAACGATGACAGGGTGAACTATGGGGAGTGGAAGCACTCTAGCATAACCATTGGGGAGGGTAGTTCCAATTGCTTGGATCAAGAGACCATCACTGGCATCAAGGAACCCGCCTTGAAGAGACTCTGACAGACCTTCACACTCATATGAAAACTAGGCACTAAGCACTGCTGGCGGCACCCCCTGTGGCACCCTCCTGTGGCATCAATGGCACCCTCCTATTGATTACCTTCGCTCTAGTGAATATAGAAAGCAGATTTATGGAAATGAATATTATACATGTTGTTTTATTCATCCGTTTATGTGTACGTAAGTGTATATGAACGTATATGTTTGTATCTGTGGGTATGTTTATATCTGTGTGTACATGTATATGGTTGTGTCTGTGTGCGTGAGTATGGTTCTTTCTGTTTGTACGTGAGTATGGTTGTGTCTGTGTATACGTGGGCATAGTTGTACCTTCTGTGGGAGAGTGTATGTTTGTGTGTCTGTGTTTATTTTCTGTGGACGGAAGTGCTCATTCTTAACCCGTCCTTATATACAGGTTGTTTCACACGTCGGACGCCCCGAGCTGGTCCTCCTGTAGTTGCAACACCCTTGTTTGTATATTATATCTGTAGTAAACGATAACTCGGGGCCTCGTACGAGTGCAACACCCTGTACACGAGCAGACATTTTCTTATATCTTGTGGAGGAATGTCCACGAGCGGTTTAGAACGAGTGGAACCACAACACACGCTATTATATATAATTTACGTTAAGTGCTAAACCCATATGGGTTATTCAGCGTAAGACTTCGTGGAGGCTTGATCCTCCGTGTGCTCCCAGTGGTCAATAACTAATTAACATTCTCTCTTCACAGGTGCGCTCCAGGTACGGTGGGTACGACTCCGTAGACGAGGAGGGACGTCGTACCTGCAACTGGGTACGATTCCTGAAGGTAGCACCCGTTTACAGCCACGAAGTGAACCTCGTGGGGCGCCGCGCGGGGCCCCGTGGCGAGGTGATCTTCGAAGTGGTGAGGGAGATCCTGCCTGGAGGGGAGCTGCTGGCTTTCCTGCTGCCGGACCTCAACGGAGAAAACGCACTCTTGCTGCCGGCGCTCACCTTCATTCGTTCCTCCCTCTACCGTCGCACTATTGACTCCATTATGGCTGAGGCGCCGCTGGACCTCTCCAGGTCCCTGCTGACCTCGCCTGCTGTGCGACCCTCCCACACCAGAGTCTTGTCGCGAGACTCTGATGCTGTTTCCCCATCGTCGTCTCCTTCACCCTCGTCATCACCCGCATCTTCAACGTCCTCAGCTCCAGCTTTCTCACCAACATCCTCGTCTATGTTCCACATGGGTCGTCCGCCGCTACAGTTCGGACTGCCCCCTCGCCTGCCCATGGGTCTTGCCCCACAGTCTCCCTCGGCAATGTCTACAGGTAGTTCCTCTGGTATCTCCGTCCAAAACAGTTCCGTCTCGCCGACTCTGGCCCCCGTCAAGCGTCGGGAACGGACTATGCTGCCGTGCTCCGAGTGCGGTAAGGCCTTTGATCGTCCGTCATTGTTGAAGCGGCACATGAGGACCCACACTGGGGAGAAGCCTCACGCCTGTGATGTCTGCGGTAAAGGCTTCTCGACCAGCTCCTCGCTCAACACTCACCGACGCATCCACAGCGGTGAGAAGCCACACCAGTGTGGCGTGTGTGGCAAGAGGTTCACCGCCTCCTCCAACCTCTACTACCACAAGATGACGCACGTCAAGGAGAAACCTCACAAGTGTTCGCTGTGCACCCGCTCCTTCCCGACGCCTGGAGACCTGCGATCACACATGTTCGTGCACAACGGCCAGTGGCCGCACAAGTGCACAGTGTGTGGCAAGGGCTTCAGCAAGCTCACCAACCTGCGCAACCACGCACTCCTTCACTCAGCCAAGACACGTGTACCTCCATCCTCAGCTCCTGTGTCTCCTTCCTCAGCCTCCCTCTAGCCCCCTCCCTCTACTCCTTACAACTCACAACATGGTCAACAACAAAAATCTCATCTCTTCATCTTCCTCAGGCGTTTAATGCCTCCCCAGGCACTCCCTTCCCCGGATGCAGATTCAGCCTTCTCACCAAACATGACACAATGCCAAATAGAGTCTAGAGGCTTTCCTCACCTGCCGCCACCTACTGAATTGCACCCGAGACTATTCCCTTTCCAAACGACCCTTGTTACCTCTCCAGACACATCCTTTTCTGTCCCAGTTATATCATTTTTTCCACCTCTTCTATTATTCCCCTTCCACAGGCCCCATTCATCTTCCAAATGCCCCCATTTCTCTTCCACGCACCCCAGACGTTCCTGTTCCTCTTCCACACACCCTACTCCTTTTCCAGACGCCTTGGCGTGACATACCTCCTCTCCCTCATCTGTGATCTCCTACATATGTGTGCAATATTTATTTTTTGTAAATAATGTAAATGTATATAAATAAATAAATACATATATATATATATATAAATAAATATATTTGTCCATCAGCCTATATGTGTGAATAAACGTCATAAGTCAAGTGCATACCTTTCTTATTTATATCCTTAACGTCCTGCAGGTGTACTGATACACTCAGCTCTGATGGAATGCATAATGCACTTCGAAGCAAACTTTGGCGTAAGTCGAATTAATTAGGTTAGGTTAGGTTAAGTTAGGTTAGGTTAAGTTAGGTTAGGTTAGGTTAGGTAAAGTTCGTCAGAAAACAGGTCAGGTGTTTCCTGACGCGGGTCTTAGATGATGATCCGCCGTTGGAGCTTTTGGTCATGTGACCGAGGCCTTCCACTGGCTTACCGGTCCATCCCTTTAAAAAATATGGTCATAGTAACAAGAATTTAGTTACGAAGATCCAACTTTGTGATTTCAATGACATTAATCTTGATAGGTAAAAGGACACAAGTGTAACTAATGTGTCATTTTACCGTGGAAACGTTTCGCTCTCCAGGAGCTGTATTAAGCCGTTACAAATAATACAAGAACACAAGAGTGACATATATAAGTATTGCTCGTCACGGCTTGACAAAGCTGGAGAGCGAAACGTTGCTACAATAAAATGTCGCATTAGTTACACCTGCGTCCTCTTACCTAACATATTGTGGGTAATTCTAGCAACATTATTACGATATTCATCTTACGAGACAGGAGGTATCGTTCAGTGGCCCCAAATTATTATAAAACAAGAACACGCCGTAAATGACAGACAGTATCGTTCGCAGTCGTTTTATCAAACCTGTCGCCATCTTTCTGGTTTTTAAACCAGTAATAATAATGTTCTTTTAGATAATACAGGGTGTTTCAAAACGCTGGGTCCATCATTATTAAAAGTCCATAAAACTGGGTCCATCATTATTAAAAGTCCATAAAACTGGGTCCATCATTATTAAAAGTCCATAAAACTGGGTCCATCATTATTAAAAGTCCATAAAACTGGGTCCATCATTATTAAAAGTCCATAAAACTGGGTCCATCATTATTAAAAGTCCATAAAACTGGGTCCATCATTATTAAAAGTCCATAAAACTGGGTCCATCATTATTAAACGTCCTTAAAATTGGGTCCATCATTATTAAACGTCCTTAAAATTGGGTCCATCATTATTAAACGTCCTTAAAATTTGATCCATCATTATTAAACGCCCTTAAAACTGGGTCCATAATTATTAAAAGTCCATAAAACTGGGTCCATCATTATTAAACATCCAATATTATGATTTTTAAATAATAATATTTTTAGACAATAAATAATCGTAATATATCAGAAAATATTTTAGACATATCGACAATATTTTCTACAAAATTATTTTAGACTAATATTTTAGACATGATTATTATTATATCCAGTATTAATATTTATAGGCAGTAATAATATGCAGTTAATAGTTAATGTTCCTGTTACTTTATTGTTGCACAAGCAATGTTGCAATGTTGCAGTGTTTAATGCTGCAATGTTGCAGTGTTTAATGTTGCAGTGTTTAATGTTGCAATGTTGATGGTGCAATGTTCAATGTTGCAATGTTGCAATGTTTAATGTTGCAATGTTGATGTTGCAGTGTTTAATGTTGCAATGTTGATGTTGCAGTGTTTAATGTTGCAATGTTGATGTTGCAATGTTCAATGTTGCAATGTTGATGTTGCAGTGTTTAATGTTGCAATGTTGATGGTGCAATGTTCAATGTTGCAATGTTCAATGTTGCAATGTTGATGTTGCAATGTTGATGTTGCAGTGTTCAATGTTGCAATGTTGATGTTGCAATGTTCAATGTTGCAATGTTGATGTTGCAGTATTTAATGTTGCAATGTTGATGGTGCAATGTTCAATGTTGCAGTGTTTAATGTTGCAATGCTGCAGTGTTTAATGTTGCAATGTTGATGTTGCAGTGTTTAATGTTGCAATGCTGCAGTGTTTAATGTTGCAATGTTGATGGTGCAGTGTTTAATGTTGCAATGCTGCAATGTTGCAGTGTTTAATGTTGCAATGTTGATGTTGCAGTGTTTAATGTTGCAATGCTGCAATGTTGCAATGTTTAATGTTGCAATGTTGATGTTGCAGTGTTTAATGTTGCAATGCTGCAGTGTTTAATGTTGCAATGTTGATGTTGCAGTGTTTAATGTTGCAATGCTGCAATGTTGCAGTGTTTAATGTTGCAATGTTGATGTTGCAGTGTTTAATGTTGCAATGCTGCAGTGTTTAATGTTGCAATGTTGATGTTGCAGTGTTTAATGTTGCAATGATGCAATGTTGAAGTGTTTAATGTTGCAATGTTGATGTTGCAGTGTTTAATGTTGCAATGCTGCAGTGTTTAATGTTGCGATGTTGATGTTGCAGTGTTTAATGTTGCAATGCTGCGATGTTGCAGTGTTTAATGTTGCAATGTTGATGGTGCAGTGTTTAATGTTGCGATGCTGCAATGTTGCAGTGTTTAATGTTGCAATGCTGCAATGTTGCAGTGTTTAATGTTGCAATGTTGATGTTGCAGTGTTTAATGTTGCAATGCTGCAGTGTTTAATGTTGCAATGTTGATGTTGCAGTGTTTAATGTTGCAATGCTGCAATGATGCAGTGTTTAATGTTGCAATGTTGATGTTGCAGTGTTTAATGTTGCAATGTTGATGTTGCAGTGTTTAATGTTGCAATGCTGCAATGTTGCAGTGTTTAATGTTGCAATGTTGATGTTGCAGTGTTTAATGTTGCAATGCTGCAGTGTTTAATGTTGCAATGTTGATGGTGCAGTGTTTAATGTTGCAATGTTGATGTTGCAGTGTTTAATGTTGCAATGCTGATGGTGCAGTGTTTAATGTTGCAATGTTGCAGTGTTCAATGTTACAATGTTGCTGGTGCAGTGTTTAATGTTGCAATGTTGCAGTGTTTAATGTTGCAACGTCGATGGTTCAGTGTTTAATGTTGCAATGTTGATGGTGCAGCGTTTAATGTTGCAATGTTGATGGTGCAGTGTTTAATGTTGCAATGTTGCAGTGTTTAATGTTGCAATGTCGATGGTTCAGTGTTTAATGTTGCAATGTTGCAGTGTTTAATGTTGCAATGTTGATGGTGCAGTGTTTAATGTTGCAATGTTGCAGTGTTTAATGTTGCACTGTTGCAGTGTTTAATGTTGCAATGTTGATGGTGCAGTGTTTAATGTTGCAATGTTGCAGTGTTTAATGTTGCAATGTTGCAGTGTTTAATGTTGCAATGTTTGATGTAACAATGTTTAATGCTGCAGTGTTTACAGTTGCAGTGTTCAATGGTTATGTGTTTAATGTTACACTGTTTAGTGTTACAATGTTTAATGTTGCAATGTTAATGTTGCAATGTTTTAGTGCTGTAATGTTTAACGTTATAATCTTTAATGTAGGAGTGTTTAATGCTTATTGTTACAATGTTGCAATGGTTAATATTGCAGTGGTTAATATTGCAACATGTAACATTGCAATATTTAGTGTTGCCATATTTAATGTTGCAATAATTATTGTTGCAATATCTAATGTTGCAATATTTAATGTTGTAATATTTAAGGTTGCAATATTTAAGGTTGCAATATTTTTCTTGTAATATTTAATGTTGCAATATTTAATGTTGCAATATTTAATGTTGCAATATTTAATGTTGCAATATTTAATGTTGCCATATTTAATGTTGCCATATTTAATGTTGCAATATTTAATGTTGCAATATTTAATGTTGCAATATTTAATGTTGCCATATTTAATGGTGCAATATTTAATGTTGCAATATTTAATGTTGCAATATTTAATGTTGCCATATTTAATGTTGCCATATTTAATGGTGCAATATTTAATGTTGCAATATTTAATGTTGCAATATTTAATGTTGCATTGCATAATATGGGCTCCAGTTCCTCAGAACAAGAGCCCATCACTAACACCCGAAAAAGTTATTTATCTTACTGAGAAAAAATAAAGAAATAATAAACAAAAATAATTCAAAAAAATTACTGATAAATTTTCTTGATTTTTTGTGAGAAAAAGAATTATTTTAAAATAACTGTAACAACTATTATAAATAATTTTTTTTGGATTCTCATTACATTTCGAAAATAAATTATAATAATAATAATAAGTTAATAATAATATATTAATAATATTAATAATATAATAATAATAATAATAACAATAATAATAATAATAATAATAATAATAATAATAAATAATAATAATAATAATAATAATAATAATAATAATAATAATAATAATAATAATAATAATATAAATAATTAAAATAATAAGCAATAATTTTTTTCGAAATTCTCATTACATTTCGAAAATAAATAAATAATAATAATTAACTAAAATAATAATAACAACGATAACAGCAACAATATGATAATAATAATAATAATAATAATAATAATAATAATAATAATAATAATAATAATAATAATAATAATAGTAATAATAATCAATAATAATAATAATAATAATAATAATAATAATAATAATAATAATAATAATATTATATTATTATATTTATTATTATTATTATTATTATTATTATTATTATTATTATTATATTCATGGGAGAGCGCTAAACGCGTAGGGGTCATACGCCGCTTTGGGAAATGAGTAGGCAATGAAATTTCTTCTAAGGAAGTGGAAGAGGCAGCTCTAGTTCCTTGGATCAAGCCCCCTTTACCAGCATCATTTATCCTTAGGTATTTTACACGCACACACGTCTACCTGCATGTGTACAAGCGTATACCTACATGTGTACATATGAATACTTACACCATTATATACACACATGTATTACCTAATGTACATTTACGTACATATACGTACACGTGTATGTTTTTTTTGTTTCCATGTGTACGTGTGCGTCAGAGAATACTTGTGTAGGAATATACATGTATATATGCATGCGTGAATGTGTTTGTGTGTGTGTGTGTGTGTGTGTGTGTGTGTGTGTGTGTGTGTGTGTGTGTGTGTGTGTGTGTGTGTGTGTGTGTGTGCGTGCGTGTGTGTGTGTGTGTGTGTGT